CACTCACTCACTCACTCTCTCTCTCATCCAGCAAACAGTCCTCGACTACTTCCTGGGTGCTGCACCCATCAGTTGTGGTGGAGTTGAAGCTGATCCATGGTAACTCCCTGTGTATCTGAGTAGAACAGTGGGCTGCAGGTGTTTTACTGGCTGTTCTCACAGTAGATCGCCTGGCCTTTCTTCTGAGGCACCTCTGGGTGGGACTCAAACAACCACCATTGCCTGCACACTACCCAAGGGTTTCCTAGGAGAACAAAAAGTGCTTATGTGTAGACTCAAGATGAAAGAGCTGATTGCTGAATCACTCCCTAGGATGGAAAGGGTCATGGCAGCACTGGTGGTGTAGTGGGTAAGCACTGAGCTGCTAACCAAAAGGTTTGAGGTTCAAACCTGCCCAGTGGCTGTGCAGGAGAAAACATGGCAGTCCGTGCGCATCTAGATGAGAAGCTTAGGAACACTTGGGGCTGTTCTAATACAGGGGCGCTGCGTCACAATGAGCCCAATGGCAGTGCAATAAGTCAGAACCCACAGGAGAGCTATGCGGCTTTGTTTGCTTATTTGTTTGGGAGGGAGGGAGGGATGCAGCAGCCCTTGTGGCACAGTAGTTAAGTACTCACCTGCTAACCAGAAGGCTGGCACAGTTCTACAGACTCTCAGGGGTCACCATGAGTCAGAGTCACCCTGATGGCAACTGGTCAGGGGGGACTGGTTTAGTCCCACTGGGTGGGGGCAACAGTTTTGGAAGCAGCTGAACTGACTCCTACCCATGCCCACAACGTCTAGGGCATGTGCTGACCTCTGATTGATCTCAGGGAGTAAATGACCAGCCCTCAAAGGCAAGCAGAGGTGATGATGGGGCACATTCCCTCTGAGGAGCTGGGAGCTGGGGGTGCCCGTCTCCCTGATCCTGAGGCTGCCGACATAGAACAGTGAGGCCTGCTCGTGCCCAGAGTGAGCTGTCAGCAGCATGGGAACTTGCTCCAGCTGGCTCTGGAAGGACAGCCCTGGCTGCCACCAACTTTGCCCAGGGCCAGGGCTCACAATGGGCTGTCATGTTGCCTAGCAGGATAGCTTATGTCCTGGACACCATTCAAAGGGGAGCCACTGAGCAGGTTGGATCCACTGTCCCGGTACCCACCACCAGATGAGAGCTCATTCAGCACTCACCTTTTCCCATTTTTGAGCCCCTCTGTGAGTGAAGACTTGCTGTGTTTCTCTTTGCTGAGTGTGGAAAGAAAAGGCTAGATTGATATATACCTGACTTCAGTTCTAAGTCATGGCCGCCCTATGCCCAACAGAACAAAGCACCGCCGGCCCTGCGCCATCAGCACAATTGTTCTGAGGCTTGAACCCAGTGTGGCAATCCATCGTGTCCCGGCCTTCCTTTTTTTTACCATCCTCCTGCTTTCCCAAGCATGATGCTCCTCTCTAGGGACCGGCCTCTCCTGACAACTTGTCCCAAGTATGTAAGACGTAAGATGAAGTCTCGCCGTCCTTGTCTCTAAGGAGCACTCTGACTGCACCTCTTCCAAAACAGACCGGCTTGTCCTTTGCCCAGGCCACGGTCCTTTCAATATTCTTGTCCAACACCGTAATGCAAAGGCATCAGTTGAGCTTCATTCTTCTTTATTCAACATCCAACTACCACATTCATGAGGCGATGGGAAATACCATGGCTTGGTATGCTTGGTATGGCATGGTATACCATGGCTGTACCTTAGTCCTTAAAAGTAACATCCTCGCGTTTCAAGATGCTGAACGTGGTTTTGGACAACAGATTTGTCCAATGCAATGCCTCTTTTGATCACACACACACACACACACACACACACACACACACACACACACACTGATCTCATCACAGAACATCTGTCATTAATGAAAGCAAGGAAGGTGCAGTTGTCTCAAGTAAAATATGAAGAAGGTTGACTTGTATTGGGGAGCGATCAAAAAGATGGGTGCCCAGTCTTGGGGCAGAGCAGCCTTTTCAGTCCTTGCCATGGGTGCTCTTTTCCAAAGATAGGCACCTCTGGGTGGCTATCTACGCCCTGCTTGTGGCTGCAGGGAGATGGTGAGCGAGAGCAGCTGGGTGTCTGCTGGCACCACAGTCAGGCAGGAAGGTCAGGCAAGGCTATTTCCCCA